GGTTCGGGCTCCATGGCGATGGCTAAGCTGTAACTACGGTGAGAAGGGGACATGTTATCATAATTTAGAACAGAGGAAAGGGAATGAGGTTTACCTTCATCCATTTGCTGTGCAGTAGGAGAACGATGTGGATTTGCTAGAGAAGTTACAAGTCGACAATGAAAATCATGGAGATAGCCAGGTGTCTAGTGGATCTTCTTAGCTCAAGGACATTGTGTGCTGGTGCTGGAAAACGTATCTCGAGCTGGGGTATGTCATTTTGGTTGCAGTGCTCTGTGGGTAGGTTGATTGCAGGGATAGTGTCGCTGTTGGTATGAGCAGGTGATATTGGTATAGGATCAGAATAGTCTGATATAGGATTGGGTATTACCGGCAGGTCATCAAATCTTGAGAGATGAGTTGTTTGTAATAGTGGTGGTAGTTGATTTGTATTTTGAAAAGGGAAGGTATTTTCATAGAAGACTACATCACGACTAATGAAGATTTCGAGTCTTTAAGTCAAAGAGTTTGTAACCTTTAATGCCATTTGGGTATCCTATGAATAAACACCTACGAGCTCTTGGGTCACATTTGGATCGGTGGGGATTGAGATTTGATGCATAGCACAAACATCCTAAAGTCCTTAGGTGGGAATATGAAGGAATTTTGGAAAAAAATGATTTGGTATGGGGATCGATTTTGAAGATTCAGAGAAGGGATTCTGTTTATTAAATATGCTGCCATAACAACACATTTTCCCCAAAACTTTAAGGGCAAATTGGCTTGAAATCTAAGAGCTCTTGCTACATTTAGCAAGTGTAAGTGCTTCCTCTCAACAATGGAGTTTTGTTGAGGGGTATAGGTGCAACTTTGTTGATGAACTACACCTTTTGAAGCAAAGAAATCTGTCATGTGAAATTCTTTTCCTTGGTCAGATCTTACTCCCTTAATCTTACACTTAAATTGGTTTTCAACAAAATTGAAGAAACTTTCTATGACTTTCCTTGTTTGGCTCTTAGAATGCATGAGGTAAGTCCATGTGATTCGACTATGGTCATCAACAATTGTGAGAAAGTAATGAGCACCATTGAGTGAACTAACAGAGAAAGGGCCCCATATATCCATGTGTATTAGATCAAAAGGTGCATCAACAAAATTTTGACTCCTTTTAAACGATAAACGGGTTTGTTTTGCCATATGACAAGTTTCACATTGATGCTTGATGACAAAATGAGGGATATTAGGCTCTATACTATGCAACAAACTGAGGCGTTGACCAGAGGGGTGTCCCAATTGTAAATGCCACAATTCTGGTGTCAAAACAGATGAAGAGTTGGCTACGGGTTGGCGAGATGGTAGCTTGTCCCCGAGCTGGTTCTTCTCCAAAAAATAGAGCCCTTGTTTTCTCTAGCAACTCCAATCGTCCTCCAGCTGTTCAGCTCCTGAATAAAACATTGTTTAGCCAAGAAAATGAAACAAGAGTTTAGATCTCGATTGATTTGACTAGTAGATATAAGGTTGTAATGGAAGTTAGGTACGTATAAGACATTTGGAAGAGTAAGAGCAGGAGAAATAATAACAGTCCCTATATGTGAAACCCGTATTGTAGTGCCATTAGGCAAGTTGATCGAGACATTTTGCAGAGACTTTCTCTGTACAAGTAGGTCAAATGATCTTGTGATGTGATCAGTTGCCCCACTGTCGAGAATCCATGTGCTTTTACTGGTGATGGTATTTGTGCAGCTCAAAGAGTGTCTGAAGGATGCAAGTAAAGTAGTAAAAAGTTTATCATTGTTGTTTGATATATTTATACCTTGATTTTCTGAGTTGCTATTGGATGGGGTAGAATTTTAGCTTTGCAAAAGGGTTATGAGCTGGCGTATCTGATCTGGTGAGATGTTCAGACTTGGAACTCCCGACCCCCCATTTGAGGATGCATTGTTGGCCAGCTTCTGCTGGGTTCTACTTCCAGGTTTTGGTTTATGTAATTTGTGGTTCGGAGGGTACCCATGGATCTCCCAACAAGTATCTACAATATGGTTTGTTCTCCCACATTCTGTGCATGCTGCTTTCTCCTTAGAGCCCGATCCCTTGGAGTTTCCTTTCATCTATTTGGCATTTCCCTTTTGGTTTAGAGTTTTGCCACTGTTGACTGCCATTGCTGCAGGTTCTATAACATTTTGGATGGGGTTACTAAGCTCATGATTAGCCTCACCTTGCAAAACAAGGTTGAATACACTATCTAATGAAGGCAGCGGATCCTTCATTAGAATCTGGTTCCTTAGGCAGGCGTAAGCGTCATCCAATCCCATAAGGAATTGCATTATTTGTCTTCGCTCTAGCCTTTTATTTAGCACCAAAACAGCACCACAATCTGCTGCTGTACATTTGAAAGGCTCCTCATAGCTTGATATCTTTTCCCAAATAAGTTTCAACTTGGAAAAGTAAACACTTACTGGAATTTTTTCTCATTTAGTTGCTGACAGTTGCTATTCAAACTTGAAGATCCTGTTATTGCTTGATCTTGCAAATCTTTTCTTGAGCTCACTCCACACTTCTGATGCAGAGTCAGAGAATATGATATATCTGCCAATCTCAGGTGAGAGATTGCTGGTGATCCAAGATAGGATCATGTGGTTGCACCTCTACCACTGTGAGTATTTGGCATCAGTATCAATAGGTTTCTTGATGGTGCCATCAATGAAACCTAATTTGTCTTTGGCTGAAAGGGCTACATACATAGCTCTACTCCAAGAATGGTAGTTATGAGGAGTTAATGGTTGTGAGACTAAAACAAGTCCAAGGCTCTCCCCATGATGTAGGAAATAGGGATTGGAAAGATCATCTGCAGGTTGGTGAGGTTCAGCCATAATAGAGTTTGATAAGGAAGAAGGTTCTGGTGTGAAGAAGAGGTATTAAGTGGTTGAGACAGAGAAGTTCAAAGCTCAAGGCTCTGATACCATAGAGTATTTTATGTTGGATACCAAGGAATTCATATTAATTGAATTGAATTGTACAAAACATTTGCTCCTGATTTATACACGGAAGTTAAGCCCCCAAAAAAAAAAATCTGTACAGCATATTAAAGAAACAAAATAATAGACTGCAGCTATCTATTTCCCTGTAGTCCCCATCATAGACTTCATTATGGCGAGTCTATTTTATTTTTCTTGTACACCAGAGCCTTGTTTCCATACAAAGCTAAGTCAAAACTGTGCACAACCTGATTTTCTTCAGAATTTTCTCAATAAAATGCAAAGTCTTATTTGAGGGAAGACCTTCCACCCTCATCTAAGGAACACAATAATTTCAACCGAATCAGAATTCATAGTCATTTTCATAGATGAAGGCTGGTTTATATTGTTATGGAGAAAGAGGAGATAAATATAGAGAGGGAAAAGAGAAGGGAGAGGGAATTTGTTAGGGTTTAGTTTGTTGATCGGATAAAATTAATATAAAAATACAGTATTTTATTTTTTGTAATTACTTTTCACATGATTTTTCAAAAAGGCATTATATTTAAGGTATATGGTCTAATTTCCTCAGAAAAATATGGTAATTGATCTTCTAGAAATATGGTCCAACAATTAAATTTTATATAATCTTGAATCTTCACCAATTCGGCCACTTCTAAAAAATCGAGTATATTTAATCATTAAAGTCAATATTAATCAATAAATATTTCTGGGACATTTTCGTAACAAAATAGTTCGATACCAAACATATCTTCATTTTTCTCTCTTCAGATTCACTAGAAATTCCGATGTGCCACCATCGAATTATTCATTTGAAAACCAAACTCGACAATTTAAGTCAAAGGAAAAAACCATGGCTAAAATTTACAATCTCTCGAAGATGAAATTTTTACATGCAAAATCAATAGCATAAGCTATTGGAATTGGTTAAGTACAGAATATGGAAAAAGTGACTTTCGTGTCAGTTTCGATCAAATATTCGAACTTGATCCGATAGTCAAATTATTAATATAAATAGACTAATTTATTCTACTCGTTGAGTATATTTTCGTGGTATATTTAGAATTTCAAAACCATTTCGGATGAATGAGAAATTGAGGTCCAAATTTGGGAAGAAAGAGAGGAAAAATTGGCTGGAATTCAACCAACTCCGCAGCTCGCCTAGCACTAGCTTGGTGCCTGAATGGAAAAGTTGTCACTTGAGCGACAAGCCAGCGATAGGCGAGGGACGGGCTCACTCTTTTTGACGCTCGAGCAAGGGAAAAGCGTAAGCGAGTGACAGCAAAAGCTGCGACTTTTGGCAAAAGTTGCTAAGTTTGGGCTATGTCTCTTCACTCATAGTCTCTCCCTCTATAAATAGGACCCTTGAGACTTCCATTTCTTCATTCCAATGATATGCAATCTAGCATAACATAACTTTCTTCTTTCTCTACCAAAATTTTGTATAAATACTGGTTTCTTTTGTTCATTAAAAAAGGAGTACAAAATTCGATTTTGGTTCGCTGATATTGTGTTTTGGAGTGCTATTAACACAAGAGGATGGTCGTTTTATATTGGGAGTTGACCTGAGACATGAATTAAGCTCAATCCTTTGGGGAAAACTAGGATTCGGATGAAGAATAAGAAAGAGAATCGCCATCAACCGTAGGCACCGTTGTGGGGCAAAATCGACTTAAAAACAAAGAGTTCAACTCTCGTCTCGACTTTGCATCCATTTCATTTGGCGTTATTTTGTTGGAATATTATTTTTTTCCTCGTTGCCTTGTCATTATTCTGTCCAATTTCCAATAAAGTTGGTAAGTTTGTTTTTGGTTTTTAAAGTCATCACTCTATTCACTATCGTTTTTCTAACATATGCATGTATAAAGTTGACAGTAATATTCAACATATTAGCAGCAGTGAAAAATATAGCCTATATTTAAACTTTTTATGACATTTTAGGATAAGATATTTCTACTCTAAATTTGTGATAGAGCAAATTATCTTTCAGCTAGAATAAGTTCACGAGTAATTTTGACAGAAATTGGAATGTTTACATATTCATAATAAAAGGAGGCAACGAAAAGAATAACAGTTGCATATTGTAACGACAGAATTCATACAACGAACCAATTACATGTTTAGTAGGACTTGATCATTAAATGCACATGCTATGTCAAATGTAGCAGATGAATATATGATAAAATTCTTCAGGATGTAGCAGATAGTAGCGGATCGACATCAGATGTTGAGGAGATTGTGATATTATCAAAATTGATGCTTGCTGAGATGGATGCAAAATCATAAGCCTCAGACACCTCGATAATTGAGGGGTGTTCTTTGTCACCAAGATTTTCTTGAACGGATGATCCTCGTTTTGACATTTGAATTGCTTCGAGTTCTACTGCTACTTCCTTCATTGTTGGCCTTCTCTTTCCATTCAAATAGAGACACCTTCTAGCAAGTTGAGCAAAAGCCATAATTTCTTCTTTTGTGTCTTCATTGAGCACGTCAGCGTCAAGAATATCATGTAAACATTTTTCCTCCATTGCTTGCAAGAAATTTGTGGCTAAACTCTTTCCTTTATCTTGTGATCTAATAGATGAGATTGCTTTTTGCCCAGTTAAAAGCTCAACCATGACAACTCCAAAGCTGTAAACGTCACTTTTTTCTGTGAATTGGCTCGACTGGAAGTATTCAGGATCCAAGTAACCAAATGTTCCTATTACTTTTGTTGTCAAGTGAGTTTGATCAATAGCAACTGACCTTGATGTTCCAAAATCCGAAACTTTTGCCCGGTATTTATCATCTAAGAGTATGTTTGTTGATTTGATGTCTCGATGGTAGATGGGTAAAGATGCCGCAAAATGCAAATATGAAAGCGCTGATGCCACTTCTGTGGCAATTCTTAACCTCATTTCCCATGTTAATGGGAATTCCTCAGTTGGGTTGTGGATATGTTGAAAAAGCGTATCATTTGGAATAAACTCATAAACTAGAAGCGGAACTTCGGTCTCTAAACAACATCCCAGTATCTTGACTACATTTCTATGGTTTATTTGCGAAAGAATAACAACCTCGTTAATGAAGACTTCCAGATCATCTTCATCTACCTTCTGAGATTTTTTCACTGCCACAATTCTTCCATCTGAAAGCATCCCTTTGTAGACAGTACCTTGGCCACCACGACCAAGTATACGGTTCACATTAAAATGATTAGTTGCTAGTTCCAACTCCTTTGAACTGAACAATTTAGTTCTATCTACACCGTTTTGAGCTGAGGACAATTGTTGTTCCAACAGTAACCCGCCATTGCGCTTGAAAAACCTTTTTTTTCGATTTGCCTTAATTCTTCTCCTAATAACTTTGTACGACCTCCAAGCGCCAACAAGTAAAACTAGTGCACCAATTCCAGAGCCAACGGCAATAAATGTCACTTTTACCCGAGATCTATTGCTGCCGCTAGTTCCAACTCGACAACTATAAGTCCCAGGCAAATTGACACAACTCCAATCTCCGCAGTAATTCAAAGTTGAATTGCTGCATTCATCAATATCTTGGCACCCTTCCTCTAGATATGGATTCCCATCATAGCCTTGTTTGCAAGAGCATTTTACGGAGTTCTCATAGTCAATCAACCTATTTGGATTATAGGGACCGATAAATCGGCAATAAACCCCATTTCTAGCGTATATTGGGACTTTCCAGTCAAGTACCACTGGTGCATATACAAATTCCTCATCGAATGGATATAAGGAATCATATTGAAAGCCGCTGTACTTTCTATAATCAGTTTGTATCCAACGCTGATATACCAGGAATGTATACCCACAAAAGCTTTTGTTTTTGTTGGCGCCAATGCTCATATAAATTATATGCAGTTCCCGTAGACTATCCAGGATGCTCGCCTGGCAACAGTTAACACCATTGCAGCTGGTGTCTGTCGAATTTTCAGAACCATTTCCACAAATTGCTAGGCATCCTCCAGCAGTTGTTGATTTGCTCTTGCGTACAGTAACAACATTTTTGCAGCCTAATACCACTAATACATTATAGGAACTTGAGAAAATAAAAGGAGTTCCCAACAGTGATTTTCCCAAAGACAGTTCTGTCCGTTCATAACTGCAATTAATGGGTGACACAGGCTGGTTCAGAGTAATTGTGTTGTTTTTCAATGAAATTTCTAGGACTTCTAGATTTATGCCGCTTAAGAAAGGTTTTGCCGCATTTGAGAGGTTCTGGCAGTTGACTGTAAACGATAAATTATGGCTACATTCTGGCCCAATTCCAAACGGATAGGGAATGGTGACATTTCCACACTTGTCTCTGCAATTTGGCTTCGACATAGGTGATGCAATTGCCATTGGTATCATTACCAATAGTGAAAGGCTGATATAGCGAAGCCAATGCAAAGTCATTCTTCTTCTGCTGGCCTATGTTCAAAACATTCGTAATCATTATATAAATCCATGTTAGTGCATTATAAATGAAAACTGTGCAGAAAGAAAGGCACGTTTATCTCTAAGTTAATTCAACTTTGATATTGGAGAAATCACAATAAATGTACTCAATCTGTTAAATTCGGGTAAACATGTTTTCACTTATTATATTTGATAGGTGGATCTTTCGCCTGGCTAATTCGTAGCGCCTTGATCTCCAAGTGGACATTCATATTAATGTTAAAAATGGACATGACTTTCAGGTCCTAAGAATACGAACACAGATAATAAGTGTTGTGATTATGTTGTTCAAAACCAACAACAATAAATAAATAAATAAAATAAAATAAAATAAAAAAATTGGTCAATGCGGTCGCATGGCCTTAAGCCGAGACCATTTGGTAAACCATGCGACCGTATGGGTTTATACTTCACTTGATTTTTTGATACCATTTCGTACTTCTGGTCGATGGCTATATATAGGAGAGCCATGTTTGAGGAAAACAAGTTAGAAAAACAATTGCAATCCATACTTTGTTCTAAGAACATTCAAATCCCGATTTACATTCATATCTTTGTATTCTTCAAGTTTTGGAGAATTTCATCTTTTGTTTTGGTGAAATTCTTTACAACACTTGTTAAATCCTTCAAACCATTTGCCGGAATACCTTTAAGCATCTCGAAAACATAGGAGAAGGGGCAAATAACGTTTGAGGACAGCGATCCCGCGTTCAAGCCTTCACATTTGTTGATATAAATTTTGTTTTGATCCATCTTGTTGGCATATTCTCTTGTGACTTTTCTTTTGTTTCTTCTCCATCTTTCAATTTATTTCCAAAAATCTCAAACGTTATTTTCTTTGAATGGAAAACAAGACAACAATGGCAACCATCAAACTTATGAATCAAGACTTGGTACGGTTGGATCGGTTTGATGGTACAAACTTCACGCGGTGGCAAGACAAGTTGAAATTTCTCCTTACTGTTTGGACCCAGAATTGGAGCCACTACCGAAACCTACAGATGGAGAGACCGAGGCAGTCAAGGCTGAAAGATAGAAACGACAAGAAGATGAATTGATATGTCGCGATCACATACTAAATGCATTGTCGGACTGTTTATATGACTTATACAAAAACACAACTTCTACAAAGGAAATCTGGGAAGCATTGGAGAGTAAGTACAAAGCAGAAAAAGAAGGTACCAAGAAATCTTTAATTTCTAAATACTTTGACTTTAAATTCCTTGATAATATCCCCCTTCTTCCCCAAATACACGAATTGCAAGTCATTGCCAACAAACTAAAGGCGGTAAAGATTGAAGTCTCGGAGACCTTTCAAGTGGGAGCCATAATTGCTAAACTCCCAGGGGCTTGAAAAGGATATTGGAAGAAGATCATACATGGTTCCGAAGATTATTCCTTGGAACAATTGCAAAAGCATCTCTGGATCGAGGAAGAATCTAGATTACGTGACAAGAGTGAAAACTCCTTTGATGGAACTTCCAAAGCCAATGCTGTTGAAAAATTTGAACCATTGGCAAAATCCAACAAGAGGGAGCCTTCGAGGAACTTTAACAAGTCCAAGAAGAAGACCAAATGAGGGTATTTTGTGGGTGAAAAATCTAAATATTGCGCAAATGATTGTAGACACTGAAAACAAGAAAAATTCGAGGGCAAAGTGAACTCCATCCAAGAGGATAAGATCGGGGCCACCGTAAGCGAAATAAATGCAATCAAGGGAAAGGTTCCGGGGTGGTGGTATGATACTTGTGCTACTGTACATGTATCATAAAATAAAACTATATTCAAAACATATCATGAGGTGGATAGAGACCAAGAGATTCAAATGGACAACAAAAGTCGATCCAAGGTTATTGGAAAGGGAAATATTGATATCATCTTCACTTCCGGGAAAATCATTACCCTTACCAATGTACTATATGTTTTGGGTATGAATAGGAACTTAGTAAGGTGGTAATCTCTTAGAAAAATCGGGTATCAAATATGTGTATGAATCCGGTAAACTCGTACTCTCCCTTAATGGAAAATTTGTTGGAAAATGCTATTCTAGTGAAGAAATAGTCAAACTTTGTACCGTTGATAATGAAATGAATAAAACTAATTTTGCTTATGTTGTTGATTTATTTTCATTATGGCATGCGAGATTAGGACATATTGGTAAAAATATTATGAAACGTATGAAAAAATGTGATTTGATTTCATATGATGAAAATAATGAACATAAACGTAAAACATGTGTAGAATTAAAAATGACTAAAAGGCCGTATCAAAGTGTGAAAAGGACCTCTAATATCTTGGAATAAATTCATACAGATATATGTGAATTAAATGACATGTTAACTAGAGGTGGAAATAGATACTTCATTACTTTTATTGATGATTTTTCTAGATATACATATGTGTACTTAATGAAACACAAATATGAAGCTTTTGGCATATTTAAGGTGTATAAAAATGAAGTTGAAAATTATCTAGGAAAGAAAATAAATATTCTAAGAAGTGATAGAGGTGATGACTACTTTTCTAGTGAATTTAATTTATATTGTGAACATGACATAAATCACCAATATTTTGCACTTAGAACATCCGAACGAAATAGTTTGGCTGAAAGAAAGAATAGAACCTTAGTAGAAATGATTAATGTCATGCTTATATATGCTAAATTGCCATTTAATTTATGGGGTGAAACTTTATTAAGTGCATGGATGATACTTAATAGGATTCCTTCTAAACATACAAAGTTTCTCCTTATGAATTGTGGAAAGGAAGAAAACCGAACATTGGATACTTCAAAATGTGATAGTGTCTTGCTTATTGCAATAACACAAATCCTAATAGGACCAAATTGGGTCCAAGAAGCATTAAATGTACTTTTGTTGGATATACTAATAATAGCAAATCTTATAGATTGCTAAACCTGGAGACCAATGTGATTATCGAATCAAGTGATGTAGAGTTCTTTGAAAATTTGTTATCGTCGGATAATGAATTGAAGGAAAATATTGAAAACATCCCTAGCTCAAGTGGAACACGTGATGAAATGTCTTTTAAAGATGTTGATGAGTCTACTGAACCACAAAGAAGCAAGAGAATTCGAGTTGAGAGGTCTTTAGGACCGGATGAAATTAATTCTCAACTTATCTCTTTTTACTAAGTAGAAGGAAATGAGTTGAATATTGTAAGAACAATTCCTTTTGTTCTACAAGTGGAAACCGGCCCTAAAACCTATAAAGAAGATATGGCTTCTCGTGATAACATTTTTTGGAAAGATGCAATTAAAGATGAAATGGATTCGATAATGTCTAATAAAACTTGGGAACTTGTCGATCTACCACCGAGATCCAAACCTATTGGATGTAAATGGGTATTTAGGAGGAAATATAATGTTGATGGCTCTCTAAATACTTTGAAAACTAGATTAGTAGCTAAAGGATATCGACAAAAGGAAGGAATCGACTATTTTGACACTTATGCACCGGTAGCCAGAATAATATCGATTAGGATATTATTCGCATTGGCTTCAATATATGACTTTCATGTTCATCAAATGGATATCAAGACGGCATTCTTAAACAGGGATCTCGATGAGGAGGTCTATATGGAGCAACCCAAAGGGTTCATTCCGTCTGGAAATGAACATAAGATATGTAAGTTAATAAAATCTTTATATAGTTTGAAGCAGACACCTAAGAAATGACAGGAGAAGTTTGACTTAGCTATAACATCATTCGGATTTAAACATAATAGCGTAGACAGATGTTTATATTCTAAAGAATATGATTATTATGTAACATTTATATGTTTATATGTTGACGGTATGTTAATTATGAGTAATCACATGGATGGTATAGAAGAAACAAAGAAGTTTCTATCTTCCACATTCAAAATGAAGGATCTTGGTCAAGTGTATTCCATTTTAGGCATCAAAATCACAAAGACTAGTAGAGGTTATCACCTAAGTCAATCACATTATATTGAGAATGTGATAAATAAGTTCAAACACTTGAACATAAAAGAATATAGTACCCCGGTTGATCCAAGTTCAAAACTTGTAAAGAATGATGGAATGACAATTGCTCAATTGGAATATGCTAGTGCTATTGGAAGTCTTATATATATAGTTCAGTGCACAAGACCGGATATAGCATATGCCATTAGTAAACTTAGTAGATTTACTAGCAATCCAAGTAAAAATTATTGGAGGGGCATTGAGAGAGTTCTTGGATACTTAAAGAAAATCAAGAATTTAGACCTGCAATATACTAAATTTCCGGCAATATTGAAGGATTTACCGATACTAGTTGGATATCTAGCACGGGTGAAAGTAAATCCACCTCAGGTTGGATGTTCACTTTAGGGGGATGTGTTGTTTTTTGGAAATCAAAGAAACAAACATGCATAACACACTTGACTATGGAATCAGAATTTGTAGCCCTATCTGATACCGGGAAAGAAGCTGAGTGGCTTAAGGATCTCTTTTATGAGATACCTTTGGAATCAAAGAATATTTCTTCAATACTTATCATGTGTGATAGTCAAGCTAATTTAGTAAAAGCATACAATGAGGTATACAACAGAAAGTCTAGACATGTGAGTCTTGGACATGACTATATAAGGAAATTAATCAAGGATGGAATTTCCTTAAATATGTAAGGTCAATTGAGAATTTGGTGGATCCTTTGACTAAACCTCTAAATAGAGATTTAGTAACATCTACTTCGAGTAGGATGGTGTTGAAACTCCTTAACTAAAAAGGTTCATCAATGATAGCAACCCTACTTGTCATTACTTAAAAGATAATTTACGGGTTCAAAGGATAACAACAAGTCATTCAATATGTGGATAGCTGCAGCATTATTAAAATTTGCAATAATTCCATCCTAATTAAAATAATGTTGGTTGTTACTGAAATGAGGGATGATTCTTAAACTCTTAATGAAGTCCAGTGCTAAAATACAAGTACCTCTAAAAGTAACAAAGGTACTGAAAGAACTTCATTTAAACAATCTTCAAGGTGGTACTGCCTTAATAGAGAATTGAAGTTTGTCTCTTAAAATATTGTTGAAAAGGATAAGCGCAAGGCCATAGAAGCGCTAAGCGAGTTATGAGGAACTTGAGAACATGTGGTACTCGTGTGTGTGTTCTTACCGGTATTGTCACATGGAATAACTGATTCAAAGCTAAACGCTACCTTTGATTCCGACTATACTTTGTTTGAATTACACTATGGTTAGATTCAAATCGAAATATATCTAATCCTTATGCATAAGTATCGTATACTATGAATATGAGACTTGTTAATTTTGAACAAGTGGAGGATTACTGTGATTATGTTGTTCAAAACCAACAACAATAAAAATTAAATAAATAAATAAAATTAGTCCATGCGACCACATGGCTTATAGCCATGCGGTCGCATGGCATTAAGCCGAGACCAAATGGTCTCGACATGGGTAAACCATGCGATTGCATGGGTACATAATTTTGGTCGTTGCAAATTTGAATTTGATGACTTTTCACTTGATCTTTTGGCACCATTTCGTACTTCTGGTCGATGGCTATATATAGGAGAGCCATGTTTGAGGAAAACAAGTTAGAAAAACATATTGCAATCCATACTTTGTTTTAAGAACAATCAAATCCCGATTTACATTCATATCTTCGTGTTCTTCAAGTTTTGGAGAATTTCATCTTGTGCTTTGGTGAAATTTTTTACAAGGCTTGTTAAATTCTTTAAACCATTTGTCGGAATACCTTTAAGTATCTCAAAAATACCGAAGAATGGGCAAATAACGTTTGAGGACAGCGATCCCGCGTTCAAGCCTTCACATTTGTTGATATAAATTTTGTTTTGATCCATCTTATTGCCATATTCTCTTGTGACTTTTCTTTTGTTTATTTTCCATCTCTCAATTTATTTCCAACAATAAGAGCAAACTCTATCCCCCAAAGATATGTCCTCTTTGTACAAATCAAAAGCGGGCTGCTCTTCTATGTAATAGAGCCACCCAGGTCACCCGCTACAACCCCTGCTCTCCCACATGCCGAAGATGGGCAATTAGGGGTCCAAGGGGAGATAATTTTTTTCATATGATGTATTTTGTGTTAATTGAAAATAAGGGTATAGTCATCTTTTCAATGAAAAAAATGTTGATTGTAATAAATAAAATATAACGTTAATGTAAACCTTACCCATAGTTGAAACAAAGTTTAAACCCGAAAAATGGATACAAACCTTGAACAAACACAAGTTAAAGAATGGAATGTAAGAGAATCGAGACAAAAGTTGAACTCTTTGTCTTTAAAACGAATTTGCCTCACATAGATACCAACGGTGGATTGGCAATCGGTTTTCAAGATACAACAATCGACTTCTTGTGTTCGAATAATTAAATACATATTGAAAAATAAAATGTAAGATATTATTGAAATAATTGAATTACTGAAAGGATAGAACCGTCAAAAATATGATTCTCACTTGATATAATATTTAATATGTGGGTTATTATATTATATTATCACCACAGAATTTATTTAGTGCACCACAATTTTTAAAATTTTTCTTATTTACTTAAATAGCCGTAAGTAAAATTACTAATTAGGGAAATGCAATATAAAAGCTATTGGAAGAGCTCACTGGTTTTTATCATAAACAAAATTAATTTTAATTGAAACTATTACGACTAAAAAAAAAAAAAAAAAAAGGAAGAAGAAGTAGTTTTTTCGCCGTAGTGGATGGGATGCATCAAATAAAAGGTTTCATTTAGGAATAAAAGGGGCTCAAAAACTTACAGGAATCAAAGAAGATGAGTGTTCAGATCAAATCGGATAGATCATGGAAAGGAGCAGTAAAGATTAATTTAGCAATTAAAATTGTTGTTTTATCAATACTTGAAAGATGTGTACACCATATATTTATTTTTTCATTTTTAGGTTTTATTGTATTAAGAGTTATTTATTTTTTTTCAATTTTAGTTTTTGTTGTATTAAATGTATAATTGTAAATTTATTGTGGTGTATTTATTGAAATTAAATTTAATTATGGTGTAGTAATTAAATTTTGTTGTAGTAATATAATTACCCTTAATATATTATGGATAGATACATAAACATTTCCAGAGAGGGCATACTTGTTCCAATTCAACCAACAGCCCACAGCTATCCCACATTAATCGCCTCATGTCATAGAGGATTATTGATATCATTAACCCCTTAATTAAACCTGAGACTAATCCATAAATGCTCCTCAAAGTTGACTATAAACCCTTTTTCTAAAGACCTTTGAAGTTTCCACCAGATAAGCGTCAATAAATGTTCTAAAAAAAATATTTTCACACCGTGCATCATCTTAAGAGTTTATCCCGCTTAAGGATGATTTAGGGCCCGTTTGACATGATTTTTACCTTTATTTTTACTTTTGTTTTTTCTAAAAGAACTTTTGTAGAAATTAACCTTAATTTTTGTTTGAAAACTAATTTTTAAAAGAAATTCGTATTTCGGAAGTACTTTAAGAGGAAGTCAAATAGAACCAGCTTCTTTTAAGAACTCTTCTAAGTAGAATAAATATTTTCATAAAATTAGTCAAACGAGTCCAAAAGCAATTTTTGGATCTCAAAAACTCCTTTTGATTCTTCAAAAGTCATGCCAAATGGCCGTCAAATTATCCTTCATCCAAATCATATGTTCCACTAGGCAAACTTATAAATCAATTTATAAAGAGAAATAATAGTGAATCTCACGAAATGTGTATATAATAATGAATACTAGTAGTTATGAGTGTGAGTTTGTGTCAATCTTTGATTTTGATTGGATTTTTAAATTGTATCCAAACATATACTAATGCTATAGAGAGTCTTCCCCTAATTACAATATGACTCAAGCAAAAAAGAATAAAGTTATCTAACACCAATAGCGCTAAAGCATCAATTTAGGTGACCACACTTGATATATTTAATTAAAGGAATCATGTAACATTGTATTTAAATAAATCTATCATTTAATGACATGCAGTTTCCACCTAGATTGGTACTTGATACCAGTGATACTAAATAACATTACTGAACAAAAAACTATCAATACAAGGGATATTCACATACCTTAAGGTGTAGTATCCTCCAGTAATAATGCAACAAATTGATTGTATCCACTTCTATATAATCACTCTTTTGCTAGTTCTCAAATGTACACAAATCTAACTAAAATACAGTCATATATAGCCATTTGAAACCACTAAAGGCCTCAAATATCACAAAATGCAATTCAATTTAAGTAGTTTCGTTCTTCTTTCCTTCTTTAACGTCTTGCAGACTTTTCTACGAAGAAAATGCCGAAAGACTCCAAATTGTCAATGAAGAAATTTCTTTGGTGTGCATAAAGGCTTTCTTCTATTAATACTGAGAATATGTTGAAAAGTGCAAAGGGTGAATAGTAGTCATGGATCAATGTGGAATTATGGTCCATGCCTTTCACAGCCACACAGTGTAGAGGCATTTCTTCTATTGACAATTACATAAACATTTATAAATTTCCAAGTCCACATAATAAATGGAAAACTATATAAATGTTTTAGTCTTTCTCAGGGGCAGATCTGGGAACTGACCGGACTGTAACCACATGATAAATGGAAAAGTACATACATGTTTTTAGTCTAACCTTCTTATTGACGGATGATATCTAGGGACAGGTCGGACTCTGCAATAGCCCATCCCTCCAACCCAAATATTAATTTTAAAAAATAAATAAATATTTTTTTTTATCTGTGAATAATTTTTTCATATTAGCCCATCCTAAATTTTTTCATAAATCCACCACTGAACCTTCTCATTTCAATTTTTTCATAGAAGAGTTTGTCTCTATTTATCTTTCACAAGTCTACGCAGCTCCCACATTTTGACAAAAAAATAATGTCCTTGTTTGAGTCCCATTCTTTGAAAATAATATATTCTTAAACAGTATTTTGACATCATTTCAACAGCATATTTTTCAATAAAATAATATTATACGCAAATCCAAAATTTTTCTTATTTTTTAACCACACATTTTCTATGAATACACTATTCTAGAATTCATTTTTATGAAAAGAATGGGGCTCAAACTAAGTAAATGTTTTAACTAAGCATCAACATCAAACAAACTTCCCAAGATTTCACTATTATGTAATATGGAAAATTCCCTAAGTACATGGATTCTTTCGAAGATCTCTACCCCAGTACCTGATTTGCTTGCATTTTTTTTTTTTTTTTTTTGTTACCTGTCAGTGAAGCTGTGCCATGGAACCCTGTAAAATTTCTGTCAAAATTTTCCTGTGTCTTCAGCATTACTCTTGCAGTATTTCCCAAGTTAAAAGAAATGCGTAAATATGAGTAGTAAAAGACATAAACGGTGAAGCATCAAATCTAGACAAAGCATGTGAGGACAAGTAAATGAAGGAACTAAGAAAGTCTTTTCGTTTGATAAATCTTCTCGAATCCTGTTCCTTTGGAGTACGGCGACGATGTTGCGCGCTTGACTTACTGTTAAAATTTTGACACTAGATTATAACTTGAATTTTGCTGAACTGTCAGAAAATGTCTGGCATAAGGGATGACCGCCTCTCACATTGTTGTGGGTCCCGTGTCAATAAAAAAATGTCGACCTTCTCAGCATGTGTGTGATCTGTCAAGACCTCTGTCATGTCCTTTGTTGGTGTAGTAAGCTCCTTATAATTTTGATATTACAATATTTTAGTGGAAAAATCATATAAAACAACAGAAAACGTCTTAATTCCACCTTCTTTTTCTTTTTCTTTTTTCTTTTTTCTTTTTTTTCCTAATTTTTCTTCTTCTTTTTCCTAATTTTTCTTCTTCTTTTTTTTTTTTTCTGAGTCACTCCTCAAAATTGTAATGAAATGTCAAAATTTTAGTAGTGAAAAGTTAAGGAACAATCAAGTTAGGACAGCCGATCTGAAGTTGTCCCAGGGGAGAAGTGAACAAGGCCACAAATGCATTTGTGGAAACAAAAAGGAAGAAAAGCTGGTACAAAATCAAAATGCCCATAAAAATTATGAAGAATATCACTGAAAATAAGTTATTGATAAATCCAAAAATTAATTTGGAAGAAAAATCAGAATTATAAAACTTCTATACAGCTATGTGAGGAGATGCATACGGCATATGAAGGGGGCTGCATTTTTTAACTAAGATTTTGCTTAATTAAGCGTACGGTTTATATGCCAAGCAAGCAAAATTAAGAATACCACTTTAGTGAAAAGTTCAAAAAATAAATTGGATGACCAAAATGAAACATCGATCGTTGGGTGATCAACAATGTTTTATTTCTTATATACATGATGGGCCAAAAGTATACTTTAATAGCAAAAAGACTTCTCATGTCGAAGACTTTAGCGATGGCCAATCATGATACTAAGGTTTCTCGTCCCACTCACTGAATCCCTCCAAAATTCAACATTGTTTTCACCTATGTTAACAAAAACACATGGAATTTGAATTCAATACAGTAGAAAATAGAAAGATTAAAGGCGTCAACCTAGTGGTGGCAATGGGCCAAGCCGAGCTTACTCAGCCCATCTACCCACGAGCTCGGCTCGTCAAAGTGACAAGTCGAGCTCAAGCTTGTTCAAGCATGAGTCGAGCTCGACTTGTGCTCAAGGGCAATGCTCAGCTCGGCCCACGAGCTCGTGAGCTCACAAGTCAAGTCGAGCCGAGCTCACAAGCTATTTTTTTTATTTTTTAAATTTTTTTGAATTTTTTGTTCACATTTTTTCCGAGTTCACGAGCTTGTGGCTCATGAACTTTAGGCCCACGAGCTGTTCGCAAGCTCGATGAGCCGAGCTAGGCTTGGCTCGTCGAGCAAAACTCTCACTCAGCTCGGGCTCGAGCTTGTCATGAAACGAGCTCGAGAAGTCCATGGGGCCAAGATTTGATAAGTCGAAGAACTACTCGACCCTTTTACCACCCCTACATGAACCCAAGATTATAGGTATCTTCTAACTTTATTTCTCTGAAATGGAGCAAACGCATTTAAAAGGGCAGTGAAGGATCAACAAATCTTCTCAACACTTAGAATATAACACATAATTCATTTAAGCAGTTGATACCCTAAGTGCTAAGGTGACACAACTTTTATCCCCTGTTTGTTTCCCATTTTTTGCCCATTAAAATGAAAAATATGACCGTTATACATCACATCAAGTCACCATATTTGACTTTCTATCTCTTTTGTGAGGCTCGTAACGACTATATTTTTTATTCTCATTTTTACATTAACGTATACCAAACGGGGCCTTAATCTCCAAGCCAAAGTCCCCCACTTTTAAGTAAGGGTGGGCAAAATACCTGAATAACCGATGAAAACGATCGATTCGACCAGATTCAAGTTGGTTTGGTAGCCATTCGATTCGATTTTCGTTTCAATGCATGCGGTGGTGGTGATGGTTTATGAGTGCGGAGGTTATGGTGGTTTAGCTCGGATCTTCTTCTTTATCTGCACCTCGACAAAAGGGATATTATGCCGACCCAAATAGACTATTTTTTGTTTGATTTTCAAGTTAGGTTTGTGCAACTCAGTTCAGTGGTTGAGTTGGGTCTCAAGTCGACCCGTGCCCATCCCTACTATCAAGCACTCAATCAATCGCATGCCATCCTTCTAAAATGGAGATTGTAATTAGCTGGACAAGAAGTTCACCATTAACTTGCTGCCAATTATTGTTGGAAAAAATGAGTAAATGACTCACTTTTGGCAAAATTTTCGGTGGGACCCGTTGATCCAATTTGGAAGATCGAAATTAATCATTGTTCTCCTTCGTGAGAGCATCGAAACCATTTATTTATTTGCCAAAATTGATAAATTGATGAATGAGAAATTGGAGTTCAAAATTGACCATTGGAAGATGATTTTATGTGGGAAAATAGCTTTTGTCCCACATAGGAAAATGAAGAAAGCAAGAATCACTTTAAATATGGTTACACATTGGAAGGGTATAATCATGTATAGTATAGAGGCTCTCTCCACGTCCGCACGTAGGGGTGCAGATCTCGAACGGAAATAGCATTCAGACCTTGAACTTGTGTGCGGGCATGACCCGCGTACACAAATGTCGGATCGATCGAAGCAAAAATTGGCCCCTTCGGAGAGCCCACGTTTTGCAATTTTTTTCCTTACTTTCTTAACCTGACGTTTGAGTTTCTAAAACTTCCAAAACTCTCAGAAACTAGAGTGACTCCAATGTTAATTGTCATAGAGTTAATGACAGAATTATGCTATATTAAATCTCATGTTTTCCAGCAATTAAACCTATGAAAAAACACACGAAATTATCTCTGCACGGAAAATCCCTAGATTCTGTCGTTGTCTTTTTTCTGTCCAGTGAAGTCATCGTGATGGTGATACTGTTTAGACGCTAAATCGGTTCGCCGGAGTGGTTTTTGTAGTGCTCAGATTCTGCTGGTTTTGTCATCGTATCCTGGAAAATAGACGCTCGGACTAGACCTCAAGTACTTATGGTGAGGTGGCGAATCTGTTTTAAGAAAACTGTGTTTGCACAGGCCTCGAGTTAAAAATTTATCTGCTATTTATTTAGTTTACATTTTATTCTTGCAGATTTATTTATGTAGCGATTTACACGTCTCATATATTGTTTGTTAAATTTATGTTAGAAATAGATTTCTAAAATAAAAAAAAATTAAAATAAAATACACATTTTTTTTTTCAATTTGTTATATGTGTGAAAGATAGATTTTACATATACGGTATTTCTATTTGTAACTGAAAAAATTTGTGTTATTTTAGTTAGTGTATGAATAAAACCACTTTATGCAAATTTTGTGCAAATACGGTGAGCTTCGCCTGCAAATATAGTGAGCTGCCATATACAGTGAGATTTCTGCAAATACGGTAGACAACATATACGGTAAGGTGCAAATACGGTAAGCTGCCAAATACGGTGAGCTGCCTGGCATATATGGTAAGTTGCCATATACGGTGAATTAAACTGTCAAATACGGTAAGCAATTGTCAAATATGGTAAGCGTGAATCCAGTGTCTAAATCATATATACGGTATATGAGAACCGGATTCCACTCCATACACTACCAATTAAATTTACCAACAAACTTAAAACAAATTCCTAAAGGAAAAATTGGTTTCTTATATTGTTAATTTGAGAAACTAATTTTTTTTGTTTGATTTTCAGAAATGACAAATGAATCGACCAACATG